TATTGATTGTTACAAAGGTGTCCTACCGTTAACCAAAAGTCCTTTCAAGGCAAGCCAGGCAGTCATCTAGTCGTTGCCATTCTGTTTCGTATATTTTTGAAACAAGCAAACAAGCGGCAAACGGAACACCTCGAGCAAGTCTCTTGGACTAGTAAGCCACGGTTGATTGCTTCCAACATATCCCGAAGCAGTTTTACTGAATGAATGGATGGATACATGTAATGCAGAAGAATGAAGTGATGTTATCTTTTCTCGCATTTCCCGTGTTTTTGCTTTAATTTTGTTGTTTGCTTAAGCAGGTAGTAAAAGATCACATTCTTCTGGTACTACTACTGTGGACACAATTCATGGATCTACCAATGAATTGTTACAAGATTTGTGACTCTTCATGGAAGTGGGACTGAAGCCGAGTATCTCGAAATGTATTCCATGTAGGCTAACTGGCCAGTAACAAATTTTTATATTTCTTGAGGTGTCAGGTTGATTTAAGAAGCATGGGGTGGTGATGTTCAAGATCCGCCAGATATTCTTTATGTTTTTCTTTTTTGAAGATTATTTGCGTTGTTGTTTTTTTTTTTTTTTTTTTGATACAATGCTGTTGTTGACGTGTTGAAATGAGAAGGCTTCTCTGCGAATTTGCTCACCTTGAGTATTATGTACGCAGAGGACGGATGAATAGACCTATGCTATGTATTCTACACAGATGGTACTATAAGAAGTAAGTACAAAATTTTCAATTATAATGCTTTTAGTACCGATCTTGTTGGTATCGTTTTTAGCTTAATTTTTAAAAGACTAAGGCGCTCTGTCAAAATTGAGAGATATTTATACGAAGCGGTAAATGTATATCATAATGCTTGCTAACGAAAAGTTTGATTAGATGTGTTTTAACCCCGATAAAAAATGAGATTATTTTGCTCGTAACTCTCTTCTTAGTAATTATAGCTTTCGCTTTTCTTTTAGTCAGCAAATAATGATTATTTTTATTTGAATATACAACTGAGGGCATACAGTGCTGATAATATTAAAAACATTAGAAGTGATTAACGAAAATAATAAGCGAATGTAAGGAAAAGAATGATAAAGATAATAAGGCATCGAAGTGAATGATTGCTACCCTTAAACGTGCTCTTCAGCGAATAAGAAAATAACATAAAAATTATTATTATAATCATTTCTTTTCCATGTACAATAGGAAGAGTTTATGTCCACATTGACGGCTCTGCGTGGCAGACGGGCAAACGGGTCGGGGTGGCTTGCTAAGTGCCCGGATTGTAATTTCACTACTTATGCGTTACGTTAATTTCCTAGCCAGGTTACGTTAATTGTTTAGAGCAACAAAGAAACTTTCCCACTGCTTTCTCTTCTTCCTTCTATCTTCTACTTCAAGTGCCCAGAAATACTTTCTTATTATAATATATATTATATCTACATATATGTATATATGGATATATGTATGAATGCATGTATATACATAAGAATATGTGCATGTGGAAAGACTTCATTTAATTTCTGTGTACTGCTCTTCTTTTTCATTGCGACGATGCAATGCTTTTTAGAGCAAGTTAGCGTTGCTGTTATTGTGAGTCTCGAGATAAAAATACATTGTCAACGTCTATCATGTAGCAGGATATTTCGTCTGTTGTGTTACCAAGCATAAAACATTTAAATTATGTCTTGAAAGAGGTATAAAAGAACTGATTACAATATATAAGTCTACCCATGTGCTTATCAGGCACATTAAAAGCTTGTTGTACAAATTAGAATATTCTTTGAATTTTTTTAAATCTTACAAGTTTTGTAAGGAAAACTACGATTCTATTATAAGAGGGAATGAAAGAAGACGCAAGCAAAGAGAAGACAAATTAAGAGTTAGTATTGCCACTTCGGGCCTGTAAATGAAAAAATTAGAAAACTATAATACGCGAGGGTGTGAGCCGCACAGAGAACCTAGTAACGAGAATTCCGAAAATAATTTGGATCGTGTAGTATAAGAAAGTTAATCGCATTTCACTGGATACTTCGTTCCAAGAATCAGAATACTCTTATTAACAAGTGACCGATCCGAGCACGGTTTCACTCATAAAGCTTGTAAAGTGCTTACGAGCTACCTAGGCTTTCGAGTTAATCGAAGCGGTCTATCGCATTTGCACCTAAACATATTTAGTACTTCTTTCGTTTGTCGCTTAATCATTTAACATTCCGTTCATCTTTTTAAGTTTTTATTGCAAACTGAAATATCGCTGCAATCTCTTCCCATTGCGCATTCGCATGCAAATGTCGCTAATATATCAAGTAAAAAATTATCGCTATAACACATAAATTGAGTGGCAAATAAGCTGAGCGACAACGAACAAATTGATTGAAATGTACACAATCCTAAGCAGAAATAAAATTGAAAATGTAACCAGCATTTCATCAGCATTTTTTCTGAGTAATTGTTCGCACATTAGGTACAGAAACTAGTTTTTGAACAAAAAAAGAAAAAAAACTTGCTGTTGAACTTCTAAAAATGCAACTTGAGCGGTAAGCATTTTACAGTTTTTCGCAACACGTAAAAAAAAGAAAAGAAATTGAAAAGTTCACCAAGTTTAAGTTTAGAGTTATATTTTATTATTAGAATTTTGTCGTTTCATTCTTCATATGAGTGCATGTGTAGTTTAAATTAAATGTAAAATATGAAAATCATCCAGCGGATGATTCCATGCACGAAACAGTTTTAAACGAAGTGCAAATACGCCGACAAAAGTAAATGTCATCGTCCAAAATCAATAGTTTACAAACATGTAAATATCTTGTGTTAGAAAATGGTCGGTTAAACAGGAAAAATTATTTTTGCTCTTGGCGTTCACTATTAACAACAAATACTGTCCGTTCTGTCCAATAATCGCTGGCGACAGGTCACTTAAGTTTTAATATTTTTAGCCGCTAGGTTTTTTGTGGCCAATTGCAGCCCTTTCTTATTCGATCTATTTATTCTGGTTAGTGTCATAAGTTAATTAACGTCAGGATATAGTAGAATTTCTATTCAGACGAGGAATGAGGCCACTGGCAACAAAAGTGAAAACAATTTTTCCAAATAGGAAAGATTACAATCCTCACAGAACCCATAAGCTAACGCAATAAAGAAGAATAGAATTCAATAACAAAATGTTTTATGTTATGCTTTATCGTGCCGTGGCAGTGATTTTTTTCAATAAATCACTTTTATTTCATAAGAGCACTCAAATGACAAAATACATAATGATATCGCTGGCATCCATGGAAACTTGTATATTGGCAATAAAGGCGTATTTAAGGAAAATATGAAAATAAAAATATTTTTGAAAAAAATTCAAAAAGCAATTATTTGTGTGCGTTTAGAAAATTCATAAAATTAAGCCATTCGTCCACATAATAATATTCCCGAGAATATTACAAAATCATTCCACCATCAATTGTTTGCTGCAAATGTATTCACAAATTCTTTAAAAACGTTTTGGCTTTGTATATATAAAGGTTCTGCCGCATATGCGATATTCGGGTCGAATGATCTCTTTTTCAACTTTTAGAGCGAAGTTTCTTCTTTAAAACGATTTAAAAGCGCCAGTTTGATGATAATAAATGAGTAAAAGTGAGTAATGGGCCCCGGACCACCATTAAATACCACGCAATACCCTGTTGTTAATTATATAATAACTTTTCAGAATAAGGTGTTATGTGGGAAATGGTCGCAAAAGTAGTTCGATCCGAACCATTCCTGATAGCGTTCGAAGGTGGACCAACACACACATCGCTGCATTAAATTTCATGAAAATGTCTAACAAATTGTTACTTGATAACAAGTTGATAACAAGAAAAGACGACTTAGACGACTGAGATCAATACAGGAAGTAATTCCGAATAGATCGATATAATGGAAAGTGGGTCTGTCATAAGTCTACAATGACAGGTAGGGAAAAAACAAATCAAATGGAAATAAGGAAATCCAAGGAGTTGCCTTAAAGATTTGACAAAGGCGGAATAGAACTATTGAAGGGTAAATTGTTAATTTAATAGCTCGGTGCAGGCAGAAGCAGCCATTCGAGTTGAAAACTAGTAATAAACATTTTGTAAGTTATTATTAACAAGTGATAGTGTCTATGTCAGCTGGAACTCTAAGCTAGACTGTATAGGTGAAATCTCAAATACTCCGATACAGTGCATCTATTAATACCTTTGGAAGCTGAACGTCAGCAACCTATTAGTTATGCTGAGAGATACGCCAAGGTTCGATATATTTCTAAACGCCATATTGGCAGCTTGATAAGAATGTACTTGGCTGAGCTAAACTTGTCAATACTGTAGTCGACAAATTACATAATCAACTAAGAAATAATCTACGAATAAATAGTTTTTAAACTTTTATGCATTCATCATCTTTATCCTAAAAGAAATAAAAGAAAAAGGGCGAAAAAGCTGCATTGGCACTCTCTATAGTATCGGGCAGGCGTGGCTGCTTTTTTCATTTTCGTAGAATAAGGTAAAGTTTGCGGAATGCACGTGCAAATGCTTATCGTGTGTTTACAGTATATGAGTAGTTTATGAGTGAGTGAGTGGTGGTCTTTACCTTAAACCACATCGGACCAATTGTTCATTAAAATTTCACGATTTGCAAAGTGTGGGTGGAGCAGAATAGTACATGGATAGGCATCAGACGGACAGCAGATTTCCAAATCGATTGTTCGAATAAACTGTGGCTCTATTGCTATATACTCTGATTATCGCTCACCTAAAGTGATCTCATCATAAGGTCACAGGATATGCACTGTTTGCTACGTACTTAATGTGATTTCCTCACAAGTTTTTTAAGTAGGATAGATACAACAACAACAGATAATGAATAAATAAAATCTTATATTTAATGTAAAAGAAAGAAATGAAATATTATGCATTGCTGACCTCTTGAAACCTGCGTTCAATTCAATTTAATTCCATACGTATTTCCGACTTGATGACTTTCTCTTAAACTTGCCATCGATTACCTTTGTGTGTTCGGTTTCATTTCTGGATTACTGGCTACTTTTCTTTTGCTACTATGAACTGTTCGTTAACCCCGACTACCGATCGTACATATGTGCGTTTGGTCATTGCATTTGTCTCTGTGAAAGTGATCAAAAACCCAAAACGTTTAAATAAGCAAAGGTACCTTTTGAAGATTTTAGAAGTAACGTGCAATTCCCAGAAAGAAGGAAAAAATTTATTAAAACAGTATGGTAATGGGCTTAACTCCAACAGCGCATTAAAGGGTGCGGTTTCGGCGAACATATTGAAATATGAGACCACAACATCATATTATTAATTGAAAATCATTCATCATCGTATCGAACGGCAATCTTAACTGCAGTTGGTATGCTTTCATCGTTTTGCTTCTATCTAACGGTCTTTATACTTTTTATATAATTGAAAAAACCAAACATTTCAATCATTTATTGTTTAAAAATTTAATAAAACTGTCGGCAAACCTTTGTTTCGAATTTTATGAGTGTAGACATGCAGATAACCAAACCCTTTTTTTCTTTTTTTTTTTGTTTTGTTTTGTTTCTATTTTCTGAGTTGTGTCTATTAATGAAAAATTGCATTGAAAATACACAAAAAGCGTATTAAAAGCAAAAACAGGGAGAAAGAAAGAAAAACCTTTTGCATATTTTGATATGAAATTTATCGATTTCTCTGCGATTGCTTTGTACGCTTGCACACCACGAGAATGAATTATTATCGTCGATCCTTTGCAATCCATTCCTATGCAGTTTAACAAATATTAAGATTTTCAGATTTTTTTTATTCATTGCAGTCACTTATCTCCTGTTTACGTATGTATATGATATTAAGATTCACTTTATTATTATTATTCAGTAATATTTTAGGTCGTTTAAGATGTGTGCTGGTTACCAGTGTGAATTCTAGAGTAAATTTATTCGACGACACTCTCCCTCTCTCTCTCTCTCTCTCTCTCTGTCTCCCTCTGGGATTTTCTGACCCGGTACACTTAATTTTTTTTTTCTTTACACGATGAGGGCAAAAGATTCAAATAAAACTGGATGTAATTTCATATATATTTTTTTTTTTTTAACCCTTTGATATATGAGAAGACAGATTAACAATGCAGACATTCGAAGACGGTAAACAGCATAAACAAATAAACGTAATTCAGTAAACTTCAACTTCAATTACAAGATATTTAATGCCGGAATCCTTGTATGTGTTTATATATGGATGTGTAGAGATAGGTGGTTGTTTTCCATCAAAGGATGAGAGGCCCATTCATTTTATCAACACGTTTGCTTGACGGACGATTGACACAAAGCACATAAATATTGTTAATCAGCATCAAATATTGAATCGATTTAAATACGTGCGTCTGTCCATCTGTCCATCTACGCATTGCTTGCTAAAGCTATCGATTTCAAATTTAGCGGAAACTTTTCGGAAATTCTCGCACGCGGATTGGTCTCGGAAATGGGTCGAAGACGCGCTTACAGTGCTGCGTAAGTTGAGAACGCCTCTGTCTTCTAAATGGAATAAAAAATTGGGTTTTTTGCGCATTACTCATGAACCAGAATAGATTAATCCTTAAAAATTTAAACCTACGCTCTACGGGCGATGTTGTAGTACTTGTACAAAAACGGAAAAATTGACCGCGCCTACACAATTTTAAAGGGTATCATAACCTCATTTTTTTTCCAAAACAAGCAAGCTTTAAAAACCCCACAAAGTATACAAATTCTTGGCCAGTTTCAAATTTTGAATTCACCCAAGCATGTTCCTCTGTTCGTTTGTGTCCGTCTGTCCAAGTGTGTAGTAACTCTGGTAAACATTCTCCCCTACGTAAAAAATAAAGACGTCGCCAACAAGTTTGCAAAAGAATTTGAAAATGACCCAAAGCAGACAAAGGATACCCCTACAATGCCCATGCAACGAAAACTGCGAACACCTTTGATTGGCGTGTTTTCTGCGTTTTACGCACATAATGTAAGATGTATGGCATATAAATTTACACTTTTATTCACGAAACAACAGCCGCGCCCACACAACCCTTATAGAGTACAAAAATTTATGTATGTCTATTTTTCAGTTTTTCGTAGGGATAACGGTGATAGGCATAAAAGATTCGGTCAGGACCAAATCTAATTCTCTTGCTTGTTTTTTTTTTTGGCCTTGGTCAGGAAAAGGTGTCTAATTTATAAAATTATTTCTTAGCGCGCAAACTCAGATATAGCTTGTTAGTGTCAACAAAGTGCTGATATCAGATATTAAAACAAGAAAAGAAAAAAGATTAAAGAAAGCAACTTTAAATCTCTCTTAAATAGAAAAACTCTTACTTACATAAACACAACCTACAGTAATTGGGTGCGGCCTTAACTTAAAGTTATATAACCGCCTCAATAACAAAGAGAACAACAACAACAACAGCAATAACGACATAAAATAATAACAATACACATTTTTTGGGTGCTATAACAGCAAGTGAGTGTAATTCTTCGCCTTGGCAAGAGGAAAGTGCAGAATCACTGAAATAAATGACTTTACAACTAACAACATCAACGACAACACCTCAAACTATATAGAAAAGTAAAGATTTATATTAACCTATTTGTACGGTCACCTCACCGTTATCAAGTAAAGTAATTAGAAATGCTGGTGTTGTTGTTAACTAATTGCACCATTATAAGGAAGACAATGATATTAACTCGACCAACGACTTCATTACGTATGAGACATACGTAGTGACATACTTTTCTAATTATTGTTATGCTTTATTTATTTATTTTTTCTCATTGGTTTATTTTTGTATTTTTTTTTTTTTTTTCACTATTACGGTCATCGGATAGGAATTTTTTTCTTTGGCTTATATCTTTTTTCTTGTTTTGATTTTATTTTCCACTATTACGGTCATCGGAGAGGAATTAGATTTGTAATATTAAATGAAGTCATATGTTTGCTCTGTTTGCTTTAGAGTTATTACAAGATTACAAACTCACGAAGAAGACGATAAAAGAAAATGTGGTGAAAGTCAAAGAAATTTAAAAAAAAAAAAAATAGAAATATTGCAAAATCCCGTTAATGTCGCGATAGTTTTTCAGTATTATTGTTATGCTCGATCTCGTTAATCGGCAGGTGAATGCAAAGGTAGATGGAAAGCACACTAACAAGAAGCCTAGGACCATCTTAGGCACCCACATCTCCCCTATGTGACCACTTTAATTTTTTCCCCCATGTAAGACGTACGGTACACTTTTACTCATGCCGACACTAAAAAAGCTACATGCTTCAAAGGTAGCGTTACCGCAGCTTGCCCAGAATATTACCAGCATATAGCATTAGGTATTGTGTGTACAGATAAGTTTTGAGCGTTTTATTTGTGACTTTGGAGCTTTGTAAGAGAAGTTGGTGCAATGGTTCAAAGTACTGTGTGTACAATTTTTGAATTTGATCTTGAAAAGAGTCTCGTCTGTTAAGACTATCCCTAAACGAACTCATGTTTCGGCATCGTCACAAGAATCGAAGCACCCTTCTAGCAAACAATAAGCGATCTATTGAAACAGGTGTTAATAGGAAGAAATAGTCTCTGAGGATAACAACGTCCGTCCATTTCTCTTCTCGTCCAATGGTGCTGTATGGACTCAATAGCCAGCATTTCCTTATATTAACTTTGTGGGGATGTGTGTAACACCGATTGCTTCAGAATCACTTTCTGAATCAGTTTAATCTAGTCCGTCGGCCTACCTATCCCTACGTTTGTGTGACTATTTATTCTTGTGATCAACTTGTAGGCCGCAAGTTTTGAACTATTTGGATTAAATTCGGTGCACTGATCTATGTTGCAGCAAAGACGAATTCTGTGGAAAATGAGTGAAATCGAACGATTTTTATGATCAATTCTCATATAACGCCCTATTTTAAAAACTTTTGAGATTTCTAACATTGGCCGACAAAAGTCGCTAACAATTCGTATTTTGCCATACTGTACATATATAGAAGGTTTGCATAGCAAAAAAGTTAATGCTTTAGTACTTTGTGATGACATAGGTTCATGAAAGTAATTCAGCATAAACAATAACAGTATGAGTAACAAACTTGGACCACATAAGTTTACTTTTTGGACGAGCTTATATAAGGACTGTTATGAAAAGCAAGTCCTATGTTTATTCCTACAGGAATAACATCAAATTGTAATACTCTTTGGCGAAAAAAGGTCAGGTGCAATAGGAATTTTAGCAAGAAAATTTACTTTGCTGCATTTGGAGCACGTCTGTTCACTTTTTGCACCTACTCCCACATGAGGCCCTATCATGCTTTTATTTTCAAAAAAAGGAATAGTTTTTAGTATTATTTCGGAATTAAATGAAGAATTATTTCAAGTGAAATGATGCAAGGTATTTAGTATAGTGTTTTTAAATGCTTCTATTTATTTTATTTAAATCATCATATTATTCCTCGCCAAATAGAAGCTCTTCCCTGTTTGCTCTTTTTCAAGTAATATTGATGGAAATTGAAGTAAAAATTTTAAACAAATAACTGCATACTTCCGTATACACACAACTCTTTTTCTACGCGCTCAGGAGGACTACTATACAAAAATTGGAATTTAAAAGTCAACAAATTACGATTTTATCTGTTTCACATAACATGAATAATATTAAACAAGAATATTAAACAACTTTACGTTAACCTGAACGTTAAATTGGATAGTGAATCCATTCGTACTCTCATCACTAAAAGTATTAATTTTTTTGTCGAGATCCATTGGAAAGGTCCGTTAACACGTAAAGTAAATATAGACAGATACACTCAAATAGCATGAAAATCAACCTAATGATGTTTTTTTATTCATTTCTCTCGCTGTTAAAATAATGCGGCGTACAATGTTATTGCAACTGATGTTTACAAAATATTTAGGAGAAAAAAAACATACATTTTTACACTAACAAACAAAAAAAAAAAAGAAAAGAATACATTACACTAAATTTATTGTTTTGTTTATAGCGCAGGAAGTTACATTATGTAGGTCTGTCTACACGAGTAACTCTACGTGCTCGATGCAAGATTTTGGGTTCATTTAACCAGATTTTCAAAGCATTTATAGGAAAAAGATTTCGAATTATTTATACGATAATTCTCTCTCTTTTGAGCAGTCACGTCGTACGTAATGACTTGAAAAATTAAAATATCGCACCTAAATGTTTTTAGAGTAAATTAACGGATGAAGTTTAGCAATGTTAACAACGATCAGAGCAGATAAACAATTGAAAAAAATCGGAAGAAAGTTGGATGAATTCTAAGCATTTCCATCAGTGACAGATCAGTTACTGCTTGAAATCCAAATCGAATTCCCACTCCTTCAAGGGC